GGTTTCATTTGTGTTTGTCTCATCTTCCTAAGTTGTAAAACTGTGTTATTATTTTTGTACACAGCACAGCGAAACCTACATACAGCAGAAAACTGATAAAAATCTTCTGACTTGAGGCTGATGAAACTTTAGCTAAGCGGCTTACGGAGCTTTAGAGATTGGTACTTCTCCTGGAGAATGTTATTAAAGGTAAGGCATACTACTGTATTTATTATATTTTCACTTTTAGTACGTTTTCCTAATGACAACATTTTGTATACTTTTGTTGGTACTTATTAAGAAAGCTGCTGTTTTTCATTTTACATACATAATGTTAACATTAACATGATATATTAAATTATAACATTCCACACTCTCTGGAGGAGACACCGAGAGAGTGAGGCTGGTGACTTGGCACAGCACCGCCTCACTTAAATCCAATCTATTTGCAAGTCAAGACATTACCTTCCTCGTGTCATTGAAACTCTTTGAGAATGAAGGACAAACAACAATGAAATATTAATAATTTGATATATTCTTAACTATAATTATAGCACATTAATAGATGCAATATGCTTGAGGATAAGGACCATTTTTAAATTTTGTGTTTTTATCAGTGGTGCCTCACACAATGTCTAGCAACAACAACAAAATATCCATTGAATGGACGACCATATCCACAGAAAGACTTTTTTTTAAAACAACAGTTGAACACATTTCCAATTTGGTAATAGAAGAATGTGATTCCCTAAATGAAAATTAGCTTTGTAATAAGCTTTGCTGGTATGCACATTCCATTAAAAGAAAATGAACTATATACTGTATAATGGGCAATCCTGTTGAAAGACTATTGTGAGATTAAAATATTAACAACTGATATTTGTATTACATTTTAAAGTTTGGAAAGTGTTTTATATGCAAGATCTTGAATTATCTCTAACAACTCTGTGGTGATAGGGACCATGGGTATTATTATCCACATTTTACAGACTGAAGAAAGGGAAGCTGAGAGAGACTAAGTGATTTGGCCATGGTCATCTAGTTAGTGAGTATGAGAAGTGGAATCCACACCTAGGGCATGCCTGACTCCAAGTCAGGAACTTTGTTCACTTTTCCATATTGTCTCTTTCAAAGGCGATAAGATACAACTGTGATTTAGCTATAGCAGTGTGCAAATAACTTGGGATAAGCAATAATTTTGATATAGTTTCATTTTGTGACAGCAATGCTCATGCATGTGTGCTCCTACTGACATTAGGATAACTTGGGTCTGATCTTGACCAAATGAAATAAGGTTAAACAGGTTTCCTCCTCTGTCAAAGGAGGGGTGCATTTTGTATCATTCTCAGTTGTTTCGTTGCTGTCCTTTGTTATATTTTTAAGAATCAATATTACTTCAAGAAATTATTCAAATGTAGCCCTTTAAGAACACACCTGGATGAGCATTAGCAGTACTGCAGTGGCTCTTGGTGTGGGGAAGTCTAATGTTTCTTTTCTCTTTTTTTTTTTGGTTAGGCAATAGGGTTAAGTGACTTGCCCAGGGTCACACAGCTAGTTAAGTGTTAGGTGTCTGAGGCCGGATTTGAACTCAGGTCCTCCTGAATCCAGGGCCAGTGCTCTATCCACTGCGCCACCTAGCTGCCCCAAGGGAAGTCTAATGTTTCAAGAGACAGTTAAACCCACAATGAAACAGAATCAGTCTCAACAGAGCACACAGGAAAGTGTGTGCCCTCTACAATGTGGCATAAGCTTGTTGAAACTCGAAGAACATTGAGAAGACCAGTTTAAAAGAGTTGCAACTGTTGCTGGGAAGAAAAAAAACACTTGTCATTTGCTCCAAAGACTGAAGAATTGATAATTGGAAAATGGTAATTTTTACTGATGAAATTCACTTTTTCATTAAAGGTTGTACCAAGATCTCTCTCTTTTTAAAATTGATTTATTTTGAATTATCAACAATCACTTCCACAAGCTTTTGGGTTTTAAATTTTTCTCCCCCTCCCTCCCCAAGATGGCACGCAGTCTGATATAGGCTCTACGTGTACATTCCTATTAAACATATTTTCACATTCCTATCAGACACATTTTCACATCCAAGATCTCTTTTAAAAGAGGTCCAAGTAAGCCCATAAAGATCTGATCATCTTCATCAGGCTATAAAACATCCATCCAAAAAATTGTTTGGGGGACTTTTTACTTTTGTTTAATGGGCCTGAAAATCTTGTACACATTAAGGAAATGATGAACTCTGATAAACATCAATATACCTAGAGGCATAACTTCCCTAATTCCCAACTGGAAATGGAATACTATAATACAGTCTTGCCCCATGTCACAAACAACCTTAGTAGTTTCTTAAAACTGAGCCAAGAGATTTAGATAAATAAGAATTCACTGTCCAGGGAATTCACTTCATTTAAACAACCCTGAAAAGCTATGGGATGGAATTGAAAAAATGGACTATTCATTGAAGGAGTGTACAATATCCAATGTGATATGTGGATTCATGATGAAAAATTAAAGAATCTGAGTCAAAATATTATGAATTCAATGTTATATATTGAAAAGTAACTATATAGTAAAAAGAGAACACATGACATCAATTTTATTTTTTGGGGGGCAACTGGGGTTAAGTGACTTGCCCAGGGTCACACAGCTAGTAAGTGTCAAGTGTTTGGTCTGAGGCCAGATTTGAACTCAGGTCTTCCTGACTTCAGGGCCAGTGCTCTATCTACTGTGCCACCTAGCTGCCCTGACATCAATTTTTTAAAGATGTAAAAAGCTTCAAGTTCATTGCAGGAGTCAATAAATTTGATTAATTTTTGTTCCACTTAATCTGCACAACACTATACTTGGCTGGATAGTTATGGCACATTTTTTGATCTTCCAGCTGACTTCTTTGACATACAAGGTATTCCTGGGCTACCCTTTTCCTGTTATCAGTTACTACTTTCTCAGGTAATGTAACTGAATACTATTATTAGTCTGAACCTAATGATGAAGTTATAAAAACATTATGTAATGTATTTCAATGCAAAATAGAAATAATTTAGAATTATACACTGCTCTGTATTAGCTGTACTGTTTTCCATGGGCATGGATACATAGCTGGCTATATGAGCTTTGAGTTATTGGGCAAAAAAAGGCTATTATCACATGGTCAACCAAAAAAATGTTTTTGAGAGATGGGCTTCATTCAAAGCACAGTCGTAGGTATTTTGGAGAGATGCCAATAAATGTATCCCTTAAGATGCAGCTCAGCACCATCTTCTGCATGATGCCTTCCCTGAACCCCCAATAGCTAGTATCCTTTCTCCAAATTACTTTGTATATATTTGTAATTGTTGTTGTTATATTTATGATGTATATTCTTTGTATGTATTTATTGTCTCCCCATCAGAATGTAAGCTCATTGCAAGTAAGGATTATTTCATTCTTTGAACTTGTATCTCAAACACTTAGCACATAGTAGCCACTTAATAAATACTTGCTGACTGATTGTCTCAAGAATTACAGGATCAGAAGCATACTACTTGCTCTTTTTTTTTTGTTTCTTCTTTCTCGTGGTTTCTCCCATTGGTTCTAATCCTTTTTTATAACATGACTAATGTGAAAATACATTTAATATGAACGTATATGTAGAGCCTATATCAGACTGCATGCCATCTTGGGGAGGGAGGGGTAGAAAATTTAGAATTCAAAATCTTATAGAAGTGAATGTTGAAAACAAATTAAACAAATTAATTCATTAAAAAAAAAGGAATTACAGGATCATTGATTCAGAGCTGGAAGACATCTAAGAGGCCATCTAGTCAAACATCCTCTTTTTATAGATGAGGAAACTTGGTCCCAGTGACCTTAAATGACTTCCCTAAGGTCACAGAGGTAATCAATAGCAGACGCAGGATTTAAACTCAGGCTGTACTGACTCCAATGTCAGTGTGCCTTCCACTGCACCATGCTGTCCTTTACAAACTACTGCAGGAGAAAAGACATGGGCATGTGAAAAGAAAATAAACACTACCTTGTACCACTAGCTGAGTGCCAAGTAAGTATAAATATATATAATGTAAATATGCTTATATTTATATATATTATATATTTATACTTGTAAGTATAAATATAAATATATAAAATTTATAAATATAACAAATGTTACAGGAGCTCATAGGACAAAGAAATTACTTTTGGCTGGGGGTGGTTATTCATGTCTCAAGATACTGAAGTGCTCAAAAATACATAAATACACCTTTGTAATTTGTAGGTTTCCTAGGTTTTGAAGTAGGGCAAGGTTTGTGGAAAGAACACTGGATGTGGAGTTAGAGGTTTGTTGTTCAGTTGTGTCCAACTCTTTGTGACCCCATTTTGTGGTTTTCTTGGCACAGATATTGGAGTAGTTTTCCATTTCCTTCTCCAGATCATTTTCCAGATGAGGAAACTGAAGCAAACAGGGTAAAATGACTTGCCCAAGGTCACACAGCTAGTAAGTGTCTGAGGCCAGTTTTGAACTTAGGAAGATGAGTCTTTCTGATTCCAAGTCCAGTGCTCTGTCCACTGTGCCACCTAGCTCTCGTATTTACTGACTAGGTGTCTTTGGGATAAGTAGTTTCACTTTGCTCATTTATAAAATGAGGGGCTTGAACTAAAAGACCTCTATGGTCCCTTCTAATCCAATGATCTTATGATAGGGTAACAGGGACAAATGAAGTTAATGAGGTCAACTGCTGAGGATACTCAGATTCCCAGGACTAAAGCACTGCAGAGCTAGAAGGGATCTGATAGTTCATCCAATTTTTTGTTTGTTTGTTTAGCCTGAATTCTGAATTCATGAGGTTTTACGGTCTCACAGACTCATTCTAGGGCCAGCTGATAAGACTGATAGATGCTTTTGGATTCTGGCCCTCAAAAAGAGTATTTCTCAGTACTTCGATTGATGGAGGAGGGGCCAGAAAAGGATGTAGTACCTCTAAGCCAGCTCTTTCTGGATGCAAAGGGTAAAAAAATTCCAAAGCTGCTCTCACCTCTCACTGACAGCAAGGTTCCGCTGCTTTAAATAACCCAGGAAAATGGTAAGAATCCAACCAATCACTTTTTTTGGTTCTGCCCTAGTTTCTTTCATCACAGTTTGGAAGAACTCCAATAGTCCATCCTCATTCTGTTAAAAAAAAAAAAGACCAAAGATAAAATCAGAGAAACCAAAATGATCATCACCTGAGCATGACGGGACAGCTCTGTGGCGTAAAGGTCAAACCTGCAAGTCCTCTGCCATTTGGCCTGTGGAAGACACCTCTTGCTTCCTGGCTAAACACTGGTATATCACCTCTGACATGTCACCCAAAAGCTTTGATAGCTTTTGGTATTCAGGAGTACTGTTCCTGCGCATAAGAATTACAATAATGTCATTCTGTATTTATGAAGCATTTCCTCAGAAATGAAAATGTTTCAGACATACTTGACTCTGATAATCCACAGCAATGGGTAACAGATAAGGAGGCCTGGATCAATGAAATTCACTCGATTTGTCCCCAAAGCCTCATCTTGGCTATCACTTTTCAACTCCGTCCCCCCCGCCCCCCACCTCGGTCCTCCAACCTTTTTTTAGCAGAGCTGAAAACACAGCTTGCTGTGAATTTAATCTTCTCTCTCTTCTCATGCCAACCCTCTGATGGAAATTCTAACAGCCAGAAGACTAGCAACAATGCACTAGCTGGAGGGAGGAGCCAGGGACTGAGATGACCCACCAGCTGAATAAAGCAGCCACAGGGGCCGGCTGTGATATGACTCATCCTCACATCATCTGCCCTCACTTCTCCCCCTCCAAGAAGAATAGAAACTCCACGAAGGCATCTTATCTTCTTATCTCCAACATGTAGCCAGGGCTTTGGTCGTACTACCAGTAGGTACATAATAAATGTCTGTTGTAATCCGTTGTTGAATCATCCCCAAGAGGTACCAGAGGATCAAACTGGTATTTCCACTTTCAAAAAGAGAAGCCCCTCTCCCCTAAGCAAAAGGGGAAGTTGAGTGTGGCAGGAAGGGCCCTGGGCTCGGATTCAAGAGACTTGTATTCAAATACTGACGTGAGCTGTAAGTTTCCTCATATGTTGTTGTTGTTCAGTTGTTTAAGTTGTGTCTGACTCGTCATGACTCCATTTGGGGTTTTCTTGGCAAACACACTGGAGTAGTTGCCATCTACTTCTCTAGCTCATTTTTAGAGATGAAGAAACTGAGGCAAACATGGTTAAACGACTTGGTCAGAGTAACACAGCTATTAAATGTCTGAGGCCAGATTTGAACTCAGGAAGATGAGTCTTCTTGACTCCAGGTGGAGTCTTAACTATCCCACAGTTTTGGAAGTTTAGGTGATCCAATGGAAAGATGGCAGGAGGTGGAGTCATAGGAACTGGGATCAAATCCTCCTTCTGAGACTTGTTACCTCATATGACTCTGGGCAGGTTACTTTTCTTCTCTTGGGACTGTTTCCTCATCTATAAAATGAGGAGGCTGAGATGATTTTCTAAGGCCCCTTCTAGCTCTCAGCTTATGACCCTACAAAAATAGGATCTTTATTCATTTGAAAGCACCATAATAATGCAACACATAATGGAGACTTCAGTGACCACTTGAGCGGGAGCCACTCAAGTTCCTGGGCCTCTGCTAGCTAGGTCGGCAGCTTTCTTACTGCCCAGAGAAGAGACACCTGACAAAGCCTTCCCTGTCCTCCAAGATTACTGAATTCAACAAGTGTTTATTAAGTTCTCTCATCACTCCATTTAATACACTTTTAGGTGCCTGTTATGTGCAAGGCACCAGAGACATAAAGACAAAAAAGAAACTACCTGCCCTAATTTGCACTTAGGAGAAGCAAAGGTGGGTGAGACTCTCTGCTGCACCAGCACTGTGGCATTAGGAATGCAACTTTAAAATGGAGTGATTCCCCCAGCTCCTTACACTTTCATAATAAGTTACTGATCAAGAGTGTGTCATTCCTATCTATTCTGGCTCTGAAATGGTTGATGTTTCCCAAAAAACCCTTTTTTAATGGCATAAGAAAAATACAGAAACATGGCCTATTCATAGAAAGGAAGGCTTAAATTTTCCAGTTTAGAAGAACTGAAAGATCAGAATTTGATCAGATGCAGTATATTTTCCTCTACGTACTAACAACTCAAATCAAGTCACAAATCCCCTGAAAATTTCTTTACAGATTCATAATTTAACCCAATAAGCATTCATTAAATATCTACCATGTCCAACACAGTGGGGCTACAAAGATCAAAAACCCCCTCAACAACCACAAAACCCATACCTGTCCTCAAGGAGCATACTTTTTTTGGAAGAGAAAATAGGCTATAATTTGCAAGGCATAGGTAGCACAGTGGATAAACCTAACATGGATTCAGGAAGGTCTGAGTTCAAATGTGGCTTTAGACTCTTATTAGCTGTGTGACCCTGGACAAGTTACTTAACCTTTCTCAACCTCAGTTTTCTCATCTGCAAAGTGGGGAGGATAAAAATAGCACATACATTCTAGCTTTATTGTGAGGATAGTATCAATAAAGTGCTTTGTAAATATTAAAGCATTATATAAAGGCTGCTATTTTTATTACTGTGATTGAGAGCAGGGGGCTGTCTTTTGCCTTTCTCTGGATCCCATGCCTGGCACACAGTAGGTGCTTAACAGGTATTCAAATACTGACTAAATACATGATAATGGCAGGAGAGAGTGAGGCCCAACAATACCGGGGTCAGATCAGGAAAGGCTTCCTTGAAAAAAGCTAGGGTCTCTAAGAATGAGTAAATAAAAATAATTTATTAATCATTTTCATGTGCCTTGCAAGCACGGTGATGAGTGCTAGAGTTGGGGAGGGAAGGCATTTTCGGTAGGTCTACTTAGATTAGACACAGGCCCCTTGTGCTCTGAAGAAGACTTTTTTGGAACACAGGAAAGCTGGAAACAAGGGGGGTGGTTATGGCACAGAACTCTTTCTAAGACCAGTTCTTCAGTTTGGGACTGCAGATGTTATAATATATACATAGGCACACATTCACTAAGGCAGACGCGCCATAATAAAAAAAAATCCAGATGCCCTTTGCAATAGAGCTAAATTCTCTGGTGACAAACCTACTGAATAATCCCACAATCATCCTTCTGATCTTTTTCTTAGCCGAGGCTATTATTCTGCTCATGCTAAACCAGGGCAAAAGGCCATCTTAACAGCCAGAATTTTGCTGTAGATAAAGGCGAGTGTAAGCAATCTGAAGATGGAGTTTTACTTCAACTGTTCAGAGGGAAAAAAAAAGTATTCCAAATCTGATGCTGGTGCAAAACCCACTGGGGAAGCCCCAAAGTAGGAGCGGCTGCCTCATTCAAATCAGACGGGGAGAATTCCCTTTGTTCTCCCCTCCACAGGCTGGCCCGCTAGTGAAATGGGCTGTCAGGAGAACTCCTGGCTTCGCCAAAGAAAGGTTTTCTAAATCCTCCTTGAAATATTGCATGCTTGAACTCATGGGCTCAGCGGAGTTGCCGAGATGGTGATGAATATCTATTTCTCTACCCTTGGGTGGTTTTCTATTGGATGGATAACATGGCAAGTCAGATTTTTGTTTGTCTTTTCATGTCAACTCTGTGATGAAGCCTCTCTGTGCTGGAACCATACTGCACTAGGGGATACGTGGTTTCAGTCCTCAATTTAAAGCAGCTGAAAAAATCTGAGATTTGTGATGGGGGGGTGGGGGGAGGGCTCAGGGAATGCTAGGCTGTTGGCTGTCCAGAGAATAATGAGTCTATAAAAGTTGCATTCGGGCCTCCAGCTCAGGTGCCAGTCTATCATCAGGCCTTTTGCTTTTGCGGAAGACAACCTTCCGAGTGAGTTTTTCCTCTTTCTTTGAGGTAGGCAAATGCTGATTAGTTTGGCACACGTCTCAGAAGTCTCCGGTGAATATGGTAGTGTCTGCCATCTGGTTTTGTTGGGAAAACAGCGAGCCAGTAATTCCCTTATTTAAACATCATATTAAGAGCAAGGCCAAAAAGGCCATTCCATAACAGGGTTTTTCATGTCCCTGTCAAAGGCTACGTGTGTGTGTGTGTGTGTGTGTGGTGTGTGTGTGTGTGTGTGTGTGTCTCTCAGCACTAAGCTACCCCAAACGATGGGACGCTTTGACTTCAGCCCCACAACAGTCCAGCCCCGCCTTCTGTACGTGTACCTGATAGTCCCACAGCTGGAGAACATCTTTCCCACATTTTAATAAACTTTCCCAGGGAAAACTGAGGTCACACAGTCAGCCACTTAGCAGTGAGGCTAGAAGCTTTGTCCAATTATTGATACTGTGCAGGGGGCCTGGACCCATGATTTCATCAACTCCAGGATGAGAAAACTGCCTCTGACAATGCAGGTTGGCCGCTTCTCTGTAACTCAGGGCAGGGGGAAGGGTTCTTAAACCATATTTTATGTCACGGACACCTCAAGCAGTCTGAAGAAGCCTATGGACTCCTTCCCAGAATGATGGTTTTAAATTTATAAAATAAAATGCAAAGGATTACAAAGGAAAGCAAGAGTTAGTGAAAATAAATATGTGATAACCTCCCCCCATCCACATCTAGAGACTTCCTGAAAATTGGCGATAGACCCTAGGTGAAGAACCTGTCCTGGAGAGTTGCCTAAAACACTAAGGGGTTAAATGTCTTGCATGCTGCAGAAAAAAGGGGGCTACATTTGCAGTTGGTCATTTGGCTTCACCACTTACTAACCACGTCACCCTGGAAAGGTCACTACACAGAGCTCTCAGGGCCTTGGTATTCTTTGCCGTCCTCTGATGAGGGGATTGGATTAGGTCCCCACCCAAGGCCCTTCCAGTTCAAAGTCTGTGATCTCATTTTCATCACACACCACCGTGAGTCAACAAGCAGCCAACAAGCCCCCATAAAGAAAAACTGGCTCTATTTGGAAGAAAACTGAAGAAGTCGAAGAAAAGGAAAGACAGAAATGACAAGTCAGGGAACAGAAGAGGCTTAGAGTCAGTAGACCTGAATTCAAACCCTGGTTCTGCCACTGGGCCAGTCACGGCCTTTGGTTTCTCATCTATAAAATGGAGGAGTTGGACTGGATGACCTCAAAGGTCCCCTCCCCCTCTAGACATAGGACTCTATGATCT